CATAAAATCGACAATATCTCCGAACCTGAAGTGACGTCATCAAATCGGAAAAAAATGCATAAGGTTCAAGTAATGTTACATAAGTCCTGAAAGTTTCATGGAAATCCATTGAGCCGTTTCCGAGAAATCTCGTGCACAAAATCGGTAAGAAAAAAAAAGAATAATAATAATAATAATAAAAGTGAAAAAGAAACCTTAGAATAACAAGAAGGTCTTCCGCTGAAGACGGAAGACCTTAATAATAATAATAGGGAAAAAAACCCGAACGAAAACAATAAGTTCTTCCGTTGGAAACGGAAGACCTTAAAAATAGTGGAAAAGAAACCTAAGAATAACAGTAAGGTCTTCCGCTGAAGACGGAATACCTTAATAATAGAGAGGTTAAGCATATGACCGTGTACGTCTACGTGTACGTGTAGCTAGGGAAATCCCCTAATTTAATGCGATTTACGTCATCAGTTTTGCTTACCGCGTAAATCTACAAGTTGTACACAACGTGTAGATTCGCAAGTACACGTAGGTGAAAACTTGTAGCTTCTTAAACTCAAACTACGCAATATATATTTTTCAGTCGGTATTTGTTATGAAGTTGAGAATTTATTACACACATCCAATGCATCTTTCTTATTTTAAATCATAGATTTTTTTGATACAAATGGATTGTAAAGTGTCTTGCTGAAATGAAGTTTTACACGTACCGGTACACGTTCAATTTGTTAAACAGAACACGACATAGTTACGCGTACGTGTAAAATCCCTTCTAGGTTTACACGTACAAGTAGACGTACACGGTCAAATGCTTAACCTCTCTAATAATAAAAATAGTGGAAAAGAAACCTAAGAATAACAGTAAGGTCTTCCGCTGAAGACGGAAGACCTCAAAAACAGAAGGAAAACAAAAAGGTCTTCCGAAGAAAGTCGGAAGACCTTAACTAGAGAATCTGCTATTGCAAGCAATAGCATATGTCGCCCCGTACTGGACAAGACTTTTATTTTTATAATCACTAAAACAGAAGTCCAATAGCTAAGTTTGAACAACCATCGAGTTGTTTCAGTCCTTTCCATAGGAAACAGAAGATCTTACTTGGGTACATCCCACTAATTATTTTTCGAATCGATAGGAGAAGAAAGTAGTGCAGAAAAAAATACAGGTTCCTAAATTTGCAGACTTGCATAAAATAAATCTGGCAGATGTACTGAGCTGAGCCTCATACTTGTTAATTGGCAGTATCTTTCCTATAATAAAAGCTTCGCAAATGTAATTTATGAAGATGATCAGCCGAATTATTTTGTGTATTACAACGCCAGTGAGAACTCTGAAATTTCCTTCTTTCAATTTCATTTTTAGAGGTTCTGCTGAAAAAAAAATCTGACATGCCACCATTCATTCGAACATTATTTTTGCATTGCAGAGAGCTGATGTTTGTTATGAGATGAAAAAGCATGTGTAACCTTTCTCAGTTTAGCGGAATTATGAACATTTTCGGCGAGATGAATGTTTTGTATACAGTGGTGATCAAGGCTTCGCGAACCTGCAGGAGCGGATCCAAGGATTTATGAATGAATAAAATCTATGGAAATGACGTACCATTTTTTTTAATTTATACTTGCACTATCTATTGAAATGAATAATATACAAGACTTAGTAATAGATATATAAGAAAACGCGAAATGATAATAAATGCAGCTGACAATCGTTATTTTTTTATATAGATAAAATAAATAATTATAAATTCAAGAGACAAAACAGACGGAGAATGAATGATGGCAAAATATCACATGACGGGAACTGAATTTTATGAATGAAACTTTTAAAACGTTACTTGTATTTGTAAATGTTATATCTGTGTATTCTACCTGGCTGTGTGCTTCAAAAGGGGGGGGGGGTCGTCTTGAACATAGTACCTTAGCCATAACGTTTGAACGGTGAGTGCGAGGGCTTTTGTATTTCAAATATGTAATCCTTGTGAAAAGAACTTTTATTGGATACGACGAACTTTGACCCTTTGACCTAGACCTTGGAGAACACATGTGTACATCTTAATCTTTTTTTCTGTTTCGTTTCTATGGCAACTGTGAGCGACTCATTACAATTATTTTAAAAGTAGAAATCACTTTGACATTTTGAAAGGAATAAACATTGAAAGTTTCAAAACGATTGCCTGCGTAGTTATTCAGAAAATCGAAATTAAAGAATTTTAACTTCACCTTGTTTCCATGGCAATAATCGATTATTTGAAAATTTTAAATGCAAATCGCACAACTACAGATACTAATCATTGAAGTAAGAAAAGTTTCATGACGAACGTTTAAAGCACCAGAGAGAACACTCTCGGACAAAATTTGTCGCTTTTTACAGGTTTCCATGGCAACGGAAGACATATTGGAACTGAACGACCTCACTGCACAACTGCAACCAGTGATCGTCCTTTGAGGAAAGTTTCAGGAAGATTGTCCCAGCCATTTCCGAGAAACAGCCTGGATAAAAAAAACATGCGTACATGTACAATTTCAATATGTCGTCCCCGACTTCGTTCGGGGCGACATAATAACTAGATGAGATCTCGTTGTCAGCAACAAGAGGTCTTCCGTCCGATTCCGAAAAAAACCCGTAATATCGCGCTTAAAATGTAAACAAAAAAAGCACACAAGGGGGATTGAATCCAAGTCGCCAGCATAAAAATCCAACGCGCTAAATTTCCTTATATATACATACCCCTGTTTAACAGTGCTTTTGTCTTAGAATTATGAAAGTCTAGTCACTATTCATAATTTTGCGCCAAACGCCACGAGTAAATCATAGCGCCTTTTCTTTGGAATGTTTTAATTAATAGGTGTGAAAGCTAAAATGAAATAAAAAAGTGTTCTGATAGCCTAAAATTCGAGTGAGCATGTTCAGCATGTACTGTTTATAAATTCCATATTGTATGTTAGCAAGTAACACTAAAGCAATGAAACGGCTATGGATTTTTAACTTTTGTTAATTTCCTGTTTATCCCCAAAGTAAACTATCCCGATTAGTTAAACTTTCATGAAAAGGTTAAATTGTTTCGGCGAAAAACATGGCTCGCCTTACGGCGGTCAGGGATTTGGATAACATTTGTGCTCAATGGCTTGAATCAGAGTTTTGAGGCAATAATGTTAAAGGATATATGCAATGCCACTTAATTGAAATATATATAATACTCATCGTGATAAAAAAATAGATTGCAAAAAACTGCATCGAAATCGGTGGCCGATTAACGGAGTTACGCCGCTTGTACATGTAAAATAGCTATTTTTACCTGTTCTGACTAACCAATCAAGCAAAAATAGAAATAGCCAAAAACGAGGCAGAGCGGAAGTGACGTCACTCTATGAACAGAATGGCGCTCAGTATTTAACGAAATAATATAAGCTTGCGTTCAAGCGACGATAGCATCGATCTGGATTTGTCTGCTGGGTCATCAACACTCGAGGACTTCGAAAGGGATGTCCAGCCATATTTATTTGAGCCAGAGGGCGATATCAACGAGGAAGCGGGCTCGGAAGACAGCCTTGAGACCAGCCCAATAGACAATACAGACCGCTTGGGAAACAACAATTGGTATGAAGCATGAAGAATATGAACAAACAAATGCTCATACAGCTGTTGATTCATTTTTTACAGTTGCACAAAGAAAGCATGATTTCCAAACACCATTTTATGGCATTCTTGCAATTTCGTGTGTGTCTCTTACAATTAGCGTTGTTTTGGTTGTTTAGACATGTATGAAAAGGTCTGCTAAATACCATACTACATATTTTCATAACCAACTTGAACAAAAAGAATGAAAATATACAAATAAATTTCATTTAATCCAATTTCACATCGAAAAAAAAATAATTTAGTTCTAAGTCTTTATATTTTACTGTTTCATTTTTCTTATAAAATATGAAAATGGAAACTGCGATTAGATAGAAGCATTGAAATGAAATATTTACTTATTTATGATATGATAGATATAATTAAATATTCTTATTCAAATCGACTTGAAAATACATCGTTTTATATTATAACTGTGGCAATTGTTTTTTTTTTTTCAAGTGAATAAAAAATCATGACGTGTATCTTTTTTTTGCCTATGTCTGCAAATAAGGAGAATCAAGGACGGATATGAGCAAAAGAGAAGTAAACACGTTACTCAAACTGAAGCAGGAGTATTCGATTTGTCCATTATTTCTGGAGAAACAGAAGAAGGCGACGGCAGCAAATATCAAGAGCTTGGTGAATTGTCACAACCAGCAGATTATGAAGGCCTTCGCCAATGAAAGCAATAAACTTGATATACATTTTGCTTCAATGTGAGAAGTGTTATATTTATATAAAATAGATCATATTAAGTTGAAAAAAAAAACAATTTAGCATGGTTTGTATGTTTCATGATAACTTGACAATTTATGAATATAGCAAGAATGAAATCAGCATGTATATGTTTTTGATAAATAGACAACACAAAGCGTTGTAGAGCTTTGGGAAATCGATTATAAAGAAAAAGTGCTAACAAAAAGATTATTTTTTGTTCACAAACAAACAAAAAGGTTAACACATATACTGTCATGTGTGATTTAAAAACCAAAAAAAAATTAACGTTTTTGTTGCATTAAGCCATGTTACAAGTGTTTTGTCTCAAAGGTTAAACCAAAGTTTAATTTCCTTAATTACCAAAGTTTAATTTCCATAATATTCAAATAAAACATTGCAATGCAAGCGTTATTTCTTTTTAACATACTTATATTAGCATAAAGTTGCAATTGAAAGACATTTGATAAAAAATTACTGGTATCAGCTCTCCTTAAAAATACAATTGATTATTCTACAAATATATTTGTCAAAATGCAAACACTGGTTATTTAAATAACACTCTTTATCAGTAGGCAACTAAAGAATGAGATAATATTTTTCCGTTTGCACCTTTACTTCCGCGTTCAAATCAGGTTGTCCTATCACCGTGTTTTCACCGTAGACAAAATCTATGTAAATGGCGAGCTTTAAGCAGTTCACTAACACCATGCTATGTTTTTGTTCAGTATTTGCAGCTCTGCACATAATTCATGGATTTGGTAAGCTTACGTAATTATAATATTTTCTGCTATTTTTTCATCAATTTTTATAAATTTCATTATATTCTGCTTTTTTGAATTTTGATAATAAATAAGCTACCAACAGTATTTGTTTCTACACGTCAAAAGAATATTTCTTAAAGGTAGGAAACAGTTGTTATTAATCCTCTTTCCGTGAAACCTTAGGGGAAAGATGTTTTCTTCCTCGTCTGTATATCGGTCTGCTTGTATGTCTGTAAGTTTGTGGCACTTTGTTTTCCACACTCTTATGTCCTGCAGATTTTGAACTGATGTTATTTTTTTAATGTGTGAATATTGATGAGGTACAGATGAAGTTAGGAATTTGCTCTGCATGAAGCTGTGATCACTAAACACTAGAATTAATTTTGGTACACCATGAAACTTCCCAACTCTTCTCCATTTAAAGTACTAGTGAAGTATCTGTACACAGAAAAAATCATGTGCTAATGTTAACATTATTCATTTAATGCGATTAAGTCATTTAGAATACAATTGAAAGTGAAAAGTGATCCAGTTGAAATTCCCAAAGTTTAAAATTAATACAGATCTTTTCAATAACGTTGACTTTAAATATAGAAATAAGAATTACTAAAAAAAATTCAAGGAATGGCTATAAAAATGAATACATGAAAATCTTAGATAAATTGAGCAATATATTGATATTCTAAGTTTGAAAATGGTAGCCGAAAATATTTCAAATGACGCATTAAAAGTGCATAATTCTTTCAATGATTTTAAGATAATTTCGCTTGATCGCATTTTTAATATATATGGTATGAAGTTATTATTTTACAGGTGTATTGAACCTGCACCATTTAAATGTTTTTTTTTTAAATTTCAGAAAACATAGCTCTAAATAAACCCACCTACCAATCGAATGAGTTTGAATACCATGGGGCTCCGGCAGGTACATTCGACTCCAGTAATGCTGTTGACGGTCTGAAAGGAGACCTTTCAGCGTTTGGAGGACAGTGTGTTATTTCAAAAAATGGGTTTAATGATTCAACTTGGTGGGTTAACTTGAAATCCATTTACAGCATTCATGAAATACGAATATATTACAGAACAGACAATGCACCCTGGGGTAATTTGATGTTTTTCAATGTCATATATTATACTTGAACAAAGACGGTGTTTTCAGACAGATTGTTATGTATAAAGTAGAGGATATCTATATTGTGTGATTTGATATTTACTCTATCCAGTGGGTTTGTGGGGAGTATATTCTCGTGACTTGCCTAGCATATATAGACCATTTCGATAAGTTGGATAAGGACAATATCAAATCACATAATTAAAGATATTCTATTTATCTCATACAATTTTTGTTTACTTTTCTTGGACTTTGAGATAATCTTTTCTATAAGCTAAATCACTGATTTTGAATCTATTTAAAATTGATAAGACAGAAATTGATGATATCACACCGTTGAATTGACACGGCGAAAGGAAGAATATCATGTGACAAAATTTATGCACCTGCGGCTTAAAGAAGATGTGTGACAATCAGTGGTTTATTTCAAACTCCCTTTTGATTGAACGTTTTAAGGACCGAGGGATCATGAATCTTATCCTGATGATGATCTTTGAAATGTGGAGATGGAAAAGGTGATAGACTAACGTACAATGTATATGCGGATTCAAGATTAATTACACATACATACAAAATAAAAAATGAAAGAAATCATTTTAGAAATTATCAAACCATTTTTCATTGGTACGTATCTGCTACCCCCCTACATTTTTGTAAAAATAAAAACGTTCGGTGAGTGGGATAGCATCCACCCTTAGGCCTAAATTAACAAATACAAATACTTTGTTTAGCATTACACCAACGGCTTTTTCGAAGATTTTTGTCAATTCTGAGGGTTTTTTGCTGAGAAAGGGATGGTAATTACTGCTTTAAAATACATTGGACATTTTTGCTGATTATAAAATGGTTTTCTAATTATCTCACAATAATGAAACATAAACACTACATGTATCACGTGAGATCCGTCCGTTGTTGAAGTCTTTGATTTGATCTGTGACTGCCCGCTCATCAAAGACTTAATAAAATCGCTGCTACCACTTGGGGAATTCTTTATTAGCCACACAGAGTTCATCAGTAGGAAAGAAGATCTAACAGGTCATTGATTACTGCACAATAAGGGGCGGAGCTTAGCTCTTTCCATTTGTCAGGGATTATTTTTTTTCAGAATGGAACCTATTTTACTTAATCAAAGCATTTAAATACAGAACCTCCGATTCTTTAAATGCATAGTTAATATAATTTAATTGACAGGTATTCAAAGTTGAATGTCCAAGGTGTGGTTTATTTCTAGCTTTGACAGACTTTGATAGGTTTTTGTCCTCAATTGTAAAGTAGACAGTTTGTATTATTTCCATGGATTCAGTTCCCTTATTTATAGACTGATTACCCTTTAAACTGGTTATATTGTGTCTCAGATAAGTGTGTCCACAAAAATGTATCTCAGATTGCTGAAATCTTTCTTTGTTCTAAAATTATCGAAGGAAATCTAGACTAAAGCTTATATTTTTTTAACATTCAAGGACAAATCGTTGTAACTTTTAAATTAGACAAATAATCAAAATCTGAAATATCGTTCTTATATATAAAACTCTTTAATCTACCTTGAGACAAAACAATTACTTTGCTAGGTAGAATACAAAAAAAATTGATTTAATTAATATAAATGCACCAATGTTCACATAAAAATATATTTTTTTTTAAGATAAAAAAGAAAATTAACACTTGACTCATTTAATAGCAAGTTTCACAAACTTTCAAATGATATATATTTTTATTATATCAGATTATTGATAATAAAAGTAAAACAAACAAATTAACCTTTACCCTTTGGAAACCTTTGGTATATCCTTAAACTTGACACTTATTTGACGTACAGGAGTCTTTTTCCTGCTGTTAACAAAATTCTTGTTTTTCATCATTTATTTTACATGTATAAAGCAACTTTTTTTTTACAATCAAAGTTTCGATAAACTTGAATCTTGAAGCGGCGTAGGATAGTGGCGAAACCGGAAGTGCTATTGATAAAGCACTACCCGTAGATAAAGAATAGGTTTGTCTCAAGGGTAGTGTGATCCACACGTAGGCGATAAATATTTATATTCACATTAATAAATCAGTTCACAGTGCATTGATCTTTTTTTATTAATAGAAATCCTTGATAACAAATAGGAATTTAATGAAACCGATTTCCATGCTACGTTTTCTCAGAAAAAACAGTGAACATGATTTCATGTGCAAGCCAAAATAAATGAAAGTGCTGGGTTCACTTTATACTTAAAATGGCCTTGGACTTATACTTATTAATTAATGAACTATCATCATCTTTCCCTTTCATATAAGAAAATAAAGTAGATACTTGGTGCTTTCATTTCCTATTATATTTTTTTCTGAGAATCCAGATATTGGAACACAGGTGTTGTGCTCTGTATGAAATATTGGGGAAAAAACTTGAACTATAGGCAATTTTCAAAGGAATTTACAGGATATGAAGAAAATTACGCATTTGATACGTCATAATTTACTAGAGGGAATGTTACATCATAATTGATAAATACGTAGTCACCAACACTCCAAGTGATCATAACTGCATCTTCAAACAAAACAGAAAGGTTTTGATTTTTTTTCAGAAATTCGCAGGGCCAAAAAAGACCTAAAGTGGCTCTTGAAGGAATATATAAATGATATCACTCACCATTATCAAAGTCGAGGAATTCAAAAATTCTTTAAAGAAATTGCTCTGATCTATACAACCTTATGAAATTCATGTGTAAAAAATCAGATGATGGAGCAACTTAATTTTTTTTCTAAATGCGCCTTCTACATATACATGTGCCCTCAATGTACTAGAAGCAGTTTTTAATCTCTTCTTAGGTCCGACGAATGGCTACACTGCAAGGTTTTTGGGATTTTATGTTTATGTTTCAAACACAACGAAAATACTTGATGGTCACTTGTGTTTTCATGACACAATATACAACAATGCTACCATACCAGCTATCGCCAACATAACGTGTTCTGTATACGGACAATATGTCATATACTATAACCACAGACCACAGCCTTCAAGTTATTCTGATCAGTACTCTCCTTTTGCTCACAATGAATTGTGTGAAGTAGAAGTGTATGGTACGTTTCTATAATTCTATATTAAACATGTTTTGTTTGTTTATTTAATTTGCAATTAGACTTTTAAATTCTACAGGTTTATTTTTATGAGTTTGTGTATCTGAAAAAAACACACTTGATTTTTTTTTTTTAATTTGCCTTTATCTTAATCAGAATACGCATTATTGTCTGATAAATAACTTATAATGTCATAAAATCTTTTCAAATTTATATCTTTCTTAAAAGAACACAAATAATGCTGAAAAGTTTATTACTTATCTATGCATAAAACAGAAAAAAAAAATATTTCACAGACCTGTACTCTTTCGAAATAGCACACACAAAAACAAATTCAAACACATGTACAACTGACTAAAATTGATTTTTATGTTGACTAACATTTAAAAAAAGAGATAATTAATCTATACAAAATAAAAAGAATCTTTGTTAAGACTGCAATATAAGCGGTGTTTCCAGTAAGTCTATGCAAATATTCGTGACTGTATATCTTGAAATTGTATTCCAAAGTATGCAATATTTCCATGATTACACTACCAAACCTTGTTTATATAACAGCTAGGACTCAAATATAGAATAGATAACTGCATTCGTTTGAAAATGGTTTGTGTTTTGAATACTGAAGGTTGCAGGAAAACAGAATACTATGGATTAAATTGCTCCATTCCATGTCCAAAGAACTGTCAAAATATTTCATGTAACACGATAACGGGAAATTGCTGGGGCTGTAAACCTGGGTATCAAGGAAATCAATGCACAAAACGTAAGTAAACAAAGGGTAAATCACACACAAATTTCAACTAAGCCTTAATAAATGAAAAAAAAATTAAGATGTTTGGACCTTAAAAGCACCATAAAAAATGATTTCCTGCTAGTTCTAAGATTTTTTTATTATCATTATTATTTTTTTACAGACTTTTAGTGATTTTCATGCTCAAAACTTTTTAATTCTATTGATAATATTTAAACTAATGCTTTGAATTGAAAAGAAAAATTCGACAGATACATGTATGTACAGTGGTACGTTGGTCTCATCATACTGCCATATACTTTTTAAATGATGTTTACAAGCATGTTTCTTTTCATAATGTGTTTTTGTTGTTGATCTAGATTTTATCATAATACATTACACTTAAAAATGTAGATCATGCACTGGCGTTCTAGTTACGATCATATTATATTTATAATATCAATTTAATGTTTTTTTTTATTTTAGAAGAGATAAATATTGTTATTTTATTTCTCCCCTTAATTTCAATTTGAATACAATCATAAATCAGCCTGCAGTCCCTCTTTTTATGGAGAATCATGCTCTTTGAAATGCGGTAACTGTAGTGACGGAGTTACTTGTCACCATGTCAATGGAAGCTGTGCAAACGGATGTGACGTCGGTGTTTATGGAGACAGATGTGAAATGGGTAAATTCAAAAAAGCCCTGTCTTAGAACAGAGCGAGATAATTTAGATTATTTTTTTCAGAAAATTATACTCTCTAGCTTCATGGTCTTTCGCTATTAATAGGACGTAGCAAGTAACAAAACCCATCCATCTGCTTTTTTTCCACCATGTGTTAATATTTTTTTTCAGTTGAAACACGTCATTTAAATAGTTAAACGTTTTTATCCATTTCGTATAACATAACTTACCCACGCCACAATTAATTACTTCCAAAACTTGTTAATCCGCTTGAGGTAAGCTTTTAAAAATATGCCACATATAAAATCTATTTTTGAAGGAAAAAATTAGCAAAAAATTGCATCATTTTAACATTGAAATGAAATCATGAGTAATGAAGCTTATTTACGCATTAAAGCACAAAGTGGTTTATAAAAAAGTGTTAACTGCCCCAAGTTATGTAACATCTTATAACAAAAGTTGGAATAAGCTTAATTCCTTAAATACATTTAAGCAGACATCTGTCTTAAACGGTCAATGGAGAAGTTAATCATTTCTCTCTTGGCCATCTGTGAGATTCAAGTATATTTCATTCGTACAATACTTGATCACATACATGAGTATGATGAACCACACAACTTTGTTTTGAGAACATCTTGTGAAATTATAAGTCATGAAATATTGCATTTTGAATTCTGTTTAATTTAAGTGAATTAAAATAACAAATTGTAATCTAATTTCATGTGTAAAATAATGTCTATTAGATAATCTAATTTACTTCATTTCAGTCAAATAAGTTAATAAAAGCTAAAGAGGTTCATGATATCTTAACGGGTTTGGTGTGTTTTTCAGTCTATTCCAGTGTATCAGCATTAGTGTAAAATGACATCACAGTCTCGCAGCAAGCCTTTTGGCATTTCTCTATGCTAACTTGTAACAATTGACAATTTCTCGTGGAAAGCAAATAACGTGTTCTCATATCTCTCTCTCCCCTTTGAAAGATAATAACGGAAATGGAATACGATTTATGTCTCTATAAAAGTAAAACTATAAATATTTTTTTCTTAGATGTTTTTTTACATTTGAAATTAATCTAGAAATAAAGTATATAGTTTTTTTATTATATGTTGTATTTTTTTCTTCCAATTTTTCATTATGTTTGAAGTGTATTTAAAGTAAATACGATAGGTATACATGCATGTTCATCTATAAAAGTTGTACTTATAGTCCGTGATTCATTTTATTTTCAATTTAGTATTAAAAAATACATTTTCAAATAGAATGTTTGCTTGTTTTCAACCTCAGAGCACACCAATTTAATTTCTTGTTCGTCGGATATTTGATGAAAAAAGTAAGAGTGGGTAAGCGGTTGAATAATAATATTATTACTTGATTATAGGCAAAATTTTTAGGCGGGGCTTGAAAAACTTTGAGCGGAGAATTATATTTGTTTTCTGATTTGCAGAGTGAGTAGATTATAAGAACAATAAATAGAGTGGAAATATAATAGAAACAGCACAGAATTCCCATGGTGTCTGGATTTTAAATTAATATCATTTGTACATGTATAGCTTTGTTTAAATACGAGAGGGGGGTCGGACGAACAAAAAATTTATTGGTGTGGCCTCGTACAAATTTAATTCAGAATTTTTTTTTTTTTAAATAGAAACCGTTTAATATATAATACATCTTATGACTTGAATTTTGTTATCCACGATCCGATCTTAATTTCATAAGTCTTAACTCTAGATGTGCCCTTCGTTTCCTTCTGTAAAAACAAGACATTTTCATCTTAAACTTCATGTTTTTTAAAAATTTTTATCTTTATTATTTTATATAGTTTGTCCCAAAAATCAGCATGGGAAGAATTGTTCAAGAGTGTGTAGCAACTGTAATTCTTGTGACAGATTCTCTGGACAATGTACATCACTGTGTAAGGCTGGATGGGAAGGACCTATTGTACAGAAAGTAAATGAATATTTCATTGGCAGAGATGATTTATTTAAATGCTGCTTTATTGTAAAGTCGGGTAAACTGTAGGAACATTAGAAAAAAACTAATTTTTTATAATTTTCTTACGACAGTTTTATTCTTTAAATGGTAACATGTAACAATTTTTATATCGGCACGAAAAATATCCCAAGGTATGCATTGGTGATTTTACAACTGAAAATATAATAAATGGAATGCAAACATTGAATAGAAAGTTTAGAGATATTTCGAATAAACTCCTATCTTGGGTTGACTGTATGTTCACCATTCAATTTGCTCCCAGGTTTTCGCTAAATTCGGTCTTCGTTCAGCGTTCGTCATTTATTCACCAAATTGCTTCCATCGTTCACAGATCATTCACTCATGGTTACTGTTCGCTTTCTCTCTTTCTCCTCGCTCAACCATTCGTTGCATGTATGTCTCTTTTTAGCATTCAAGTGTGAAATTATAACGTTTCATGCCTGTTGCATTAATGATATTGACAGAAAAAAAAAACTAAAATCGACAGTGAAATACGTCTACCTTTATAAATTGATATCTTGTATCTTCTTAATTTTAATATTTAAGGAAAAAAAAACAATATCAACAATCATTATATCCATAAAAAAAGCTAAAACACATTATTCAATTCTTTACAGTCATTTGGTTTATACAACATATGTCATTTGGAATTTGTCCTGGTTTAATTGTATTGATTCTTCTCGAGAATTTTTCACTCATATGGAGACGCCACTATTTGCCGGTGGAGAGCTGCAAATTTTGTCCTTTACTCTTTTTCGTGCCAGCACCTACTGCGACACGGGACCTCAGTTTATACGGTCTCATCCGAGTGACCGGTCTCTACCTTCCATAGTGGGATTCGAGCCCTAGACGCAGGGATCAACTCCTTACCTCGCGATTCTAGAGCAGACCTCTAACCACTGAGCCACGCCGGTGACTGTCCTGGTCTTTTTAAGCCATAAATGGGGGAAACTTTACTTCTTCTACTGGATAAACTAAAGAGGATTCTGGAATAGAGAGGAACAGTCTGCAAGCAGATGTTGTACTTAAAGAGATATGTTGCGTTGCTAGAGATACAATAATGAAACGCAGCTTCTTCTTATAAGGAACACAGTTTTGCGAAATGTTTCAAACGTACATGTATATCTTAACCATTATAGAGATTTGACCATATGTTAAAGCAATGGCATATTATTGAATATTTGCATCAAAGGTTTTTCTAGATAATATTAAAAATATGGTATATCATTTATTTTGATATGGTTTTAAAAGAATGTGATGGTAGCAGCTATGGACAAGACTGCAGACAGACCTGTGGGGAATGTCTGGATTATAAACCATGTCACTACATCAATGGATCGTGTCTAGAAGGCTGTGTCGCTGGATATGAGGGAGAACTTTGTAAAACGGGTAACCAGTAATTGATTCGCATTTCTGGTTCATATTATATTATATATAAATCAACCATGATAATTCTCAAACGTACACTCTTAAGACGACTAAGGACATGCATTGTAGAAATTTATATTAGGTTGTTCTTCTGGGAAATTTGGTATCAACTGTAAGCAGAATTGTAATAAAAACTGTGGAGTGCCTTATCAATGTAACAGAATAACAGGAGAATGTAAGGG